GGAAAACGTAAAGGGCGCGCCAGGCCTCGCTCTCGGGGACGACTTCCCTACGGACTGGTTGGCCTCAGCGCCCCTCCGCGCCGCCCGGCCGAGGGCACGGCTCTGGATGGCTCTCCTGGCGGCGGCGCTGGAGGACGGGGAGGGCGAGAGAGGGAGCAATCGTGGTGGAGGAAGAGGAAGAGGAAGAGGAAGAGGAGGGAGCGGGGGAGGGGGAGAGGTAGAGGAATATAGGAGGAACGGTAGAGCGAGGGGGGGGGGTCCCTGGGGCGCAGGTTGGCCCCGAGCGGGCAGCGGGCAGTGACGGCGGCCCGGAAAGGAAGTCGAGGCGCGGAGGAGCAAGGAGGACCCGAGAGTCCTTCCGCGTGCGGGCCAGCGTCTCAGGGCCGCAGGAGGCCTTCCAGGACGCCGGGGAAACGCGCTCGGGGAAGGACCTCGGGAGCTGGATGGTCCCCCTTCCCCTTCCCTGCCTCCCTTCTCCTTCCCTGTGCCCCCTTCCCCTTCCCCTCCGCCCCCCCTTCGGTTCCCTTCCCCGCCTCCTCACTCGCGTCCCACGCGGTTTGCGATGACGGCTGCCCATCATCCAGAACCCCTTCTCCCCCCCCCCCCGTCTCTCTCCTCGCACTTCCCCTTTCCTCCCCTTTACCCTTCCTATCCTGCACTTTATTCCTTTTCTCCCCTCCCTCCTCATTTCCCTCCATGCTCTCTCTTCGCCACCCCCTCCCTCCTCCTTCCCCTTCCTCCCTTCCCTCCTCCCTCTCCCTCCTCCCTTCCCCTTTCTCCCTCCTTCCCCCTCTCCCTCCCCCTCCCTCCCTTCCCCTTCCCTCAATTGTCTAGTCTCATCACAGGCTCATTCCTATGCGCGCTCTCCTCCTTGCACGCGGCTCCTGCATCAGTATCTGTGCACTGCGACCTCTTCTGGGCCGCGGAGGCTCGCGTTTCTTTCTTTTTTCTTTGTCGTCTTCCTTCTCTCCCTTTTTCTTTTCTTTCTTTTTTTTTTTCTCTACCGTTCTTTCTTTTTCTACTTTTCCTCCTCCTCCTCTCTTCCTCCACCTCCTCCTCCTCGTCTTCGTCTTCCTCAACCTTCCTTCCTACTTTTCCTCCTCCTTTCAATTATTCTTCTTCCTCTTCCTGCCCCTCCTCCTTTTACCCTCGGATCTCCTCTTGATCCCCCCCCCTGAGCAGGATGGGAAGGAAGGCGACCCAGTAGAACGCCGAGGCCGCGAGAGTGCCGTAGGAGGAGCGCCGTCGTGTAGGATGCGGCGTCGGAGTCCTGCGGGCGTGGGCGGAGCTTGGGCGATGGCACTCGGGGGCTTTGGCGTAGAGGGGAGTGAGGGAGAGGGAGAGGGAGAGGGAGAGAGGGAGTGAGGGAGAGAGGGAGTGAGGGAGAGAGGGAATGAGGGAGAGAGTGAGAAAGGGAGAGAGTGAGAGTAGGAGAAAGAGAGAGAGAGGGAGTGAGAGGGCAAGAGGGAGGTAGGGAGAGAGAGAAAGAAAGAGGGAGAGATAAGGAGAGAGAGAAAGAAAGAGGGAGAGATAAGGAGAGAGAGGGAGAGAGGGAGGGGCGGAGGGAGAGAGTTTCCTACTCACATCATCCTTCTTAATCTCCACTAAAATCGTAAGAGTGATTATCATTCGCAGTAAAGTTACGATCATTAGGATCACCGTGCTGAGACATTGGGGTGGGGGTGAGGGGGGGGGACCTGCCATTCCTGTGCAGTCGCTCGCCGTCTCCGTGGCTGTGGTGGCGGGGATGGTGATGGTGATGGTGATGACGGGGATTGTGGTGGTGGTGGTGGTGGAGACGGCCGTGGTTTTGGTTATCCTCATCTTGTCACCATGATATTATTGTTGTTGTTGTTGCTTTTGTTGTTGTTGATTGCTGCTGTCACTAGAACCCCCTTCATCGTTCCAAGTAATCCGCGCCCGCACGCGCACCCAAGACTTGCCCCGATTTTTCACTCCGAAAAACCGGTGACCTTGTGATCGCCTTATCTCCTCCGGCTCTTATCGCAGATAACTCCGGCCCCGAGGCTCGGCCGCCCATCCCGGCGGGCGAGAGATCTGCCGTTCGTCTGGGCGCTCCTGGCCGGTCGCTCTGGCCGCCCGCGCGTCCCCGCCGTTCCATTACGGAGCGTCCTGCGTACATGTACACAGGCACACACGCAAACGCACACGCATACTCGCGCACGAACGCGCACACGCATACGCATACGTATTCGCACACGCATACGTATTCGCACGCATACCGCACACGCATACGTATTCGCACACACACACGCACTCACGCACGCATTCGCACACACACACACGCACGCACGCACGCTGCCCGAAGAAACTTTCCGCGTCGCGGCGGCCATGTTGCCAGGTCCGCCGCTCATATTCCCTCCCAGGATTCATTCTATTTTTTTCGGCTTTTTTCTTGCTCGTTTTTTGGCCCGACGCCCAGATTTAAAGCCCCGCCCGCAGTGACCTTCCTGGCAGACTCGGGGGGCGGGGCGGGGGGGGGGAGGGATGGCAGGTTAAGAGAAGGGAGGAGAAAGGGAGGGCGCGTGCGAGGGAAGGGAGGAAGATGGAGCGCAAGGGGAGGAAGAGAGAGGAATAGGGAAAGGGTGGAGAAGAAGGAAGGGAGGAAGGGAGAGTGTGTTAAAAGGGAGGAGAGTAGCAGTGGGAGGAGAGAGGGAGTAGGAGAGAGCGTTAGAAGGGGAAGGAGAAGGGGGGGGGGCGAGGGAGCAGAGGGGCAGGATGGGCGGAAGGCGGAGAGCATCGGGCGCGCCCACCAGCCCTGCCCCGCGCGAGACGAGAGCCGCCCAAAATGACCGCGTCCACTTCCACTGCGGCGGGGCGGTCTGGCGAGAGGAGGTCAAAGGAGGAGGAGGGAAGGAGGGAGGGGAAGAGGAGGAAGGAGGAGGAGGAGGAGAGGAGGAGGAGGAGGAGGAGGAGGAGGAGGAGGAGGAGGAGGAGGAGGAGGAGGAGGAGGGGGGGGAGGGAGGAGGGAGGGAGGGAGGGAGGGAGGAGGGGAGGAGGGAGGGGAGGGGGAGGGGGAGGGAGGGGAGGGGGAGGGAGGGGGAGGAGAGGAGGGGAGGAGGGAGGGAGGGAGGGAGGGAGGAGGGAGGAGGGAGGAGGGAGGAGGGAGGAGGGAGGAGGAGGAGGGGAGGAGGAGGAGGAGAGGAGGAGGAGGAGGAGGAGGAGGAGGAGGAGGAGGAGGAGGAGGAGGAGGAGGAGGAGGAGGGAGGGGAGGGGGAAAGGAACAACTCCTTGGCGAAGGTCCTGAGGGACAGGAAGGAACTTGCGGGATTTTATCTCGAGAGGGATCGGACATCTTAATTTATAGTGCGACAAACCGATACATTTTTTTTTCTGCTTCAGTAATTCAGAAGGAAAAGATTTGACATTTGAGCGCTGATGAGAGCGAGAGCCATAGGAATGATTATAAACAGGAAGGAAGGATTTTCTGAGGAGGAGGTGTAGCTCAACGTGGAAGAGAAGGAAGGATGAAGGATGCAAGTAATAAAAAACAGGGACCAAGAAGAAAAATAAATCTGCGGACACCACTCGCCACATTTCAAAAGGTTGACACGGGGGGGGTGAGGGGGGGGGTGCAGACGTGACCACGACGACGCGGCTCGGCCA